TTTCCCCCCCCCCACCCCCCCCTCACCCCCACCCCCCCCCCCCCCCCATTATTACTGCGCTTTACTGAGCGGTCTGAAGCGGCGAGCCTGCTCTGGATCCATCCCCGTCTGCAGCCATGTCAGACTCCGAGGACATGACGGAGTTCGCCAGCATCGTGGAGCGGATCGAGCGGGGAGAGGTGAGACTCAATCCCGATGATTTATGGCTCTTCTGACAGCAGCGGTCTGCCTGTCAGCGCCGGGGGCCGGCCTGCAGGCTGTCAGAGGCGGGAAGCCATGCTCACTCACACCCATCTATTCTATTCCGATATGAGCTATAATTAGCCTATTCTATATCCTTAAAGTGGATATAGGCTTAGCTCCTATTATTTCCTACAATACACATCTGCCTTTCTGTTCTCTTTAAATGTGCAGAATGAATTATCATACTGTGAATTTATAACCATTTGCAAGCAATTTATGTAGATTTATAAACTGTACTAATTTGATCCAAGGGAAGCATTTTGGCTTTGATCTGCATCTCTGTTGGGTGGGTTTGCAGCCTGACAGATCATTGACTTCCGCCAATATGTGGGAGCAGTTCTCTTTCAGACAAAGGTGTTTGCTGGTGGAGCTGCTGTCTTTGCCCACCTCAGACTGGCAGAATGAGCGCCAATGTGTGTTTCTAGTCAGCTTTTAGGTTTATTCACGCGTGCACAGAGCCGTGACAGAAAAAAAAAAGAGAGCAGGCTGTATGGACCTGAATCACCACCACAGTTTCTGTGATGCAGAATAATTTATTACGTTTTGCGTAAGCTCTCTAACAACATCCCATATTTATCATCTTAGCAACTTTACATGCAATTTATTAGACATGTTTCTGCTTAAACAGAGCTAATTGAAGCACATAAGTTATTCACACAACTCGGGTGCAGGTCACTCAGGCATTTGATTAAATGTGCACACCAGGACTAGACGCACAAAGTTTGAGACCTTTGTCTATAGTCTGTTTTTTATGTATTGTGCATGAATGAGGATTTATTTTACTGCACATATTACTGTTAACATTTAGCACATTAGGTGTTTTGGAGGGCTTTTCTTATTGTAGCTATGCATTTTAAGGAGAAAAATACAACAGTATTTTCCCTACATTTGCTTGAAAAGTAGCGTCATACACACCCAAAATACTAACACGTGTTAAACTACGTATTGTAGTGTTTGCTGCCATAAATAATTTTTGTGGAATATAATTAACCTTTGCTATTTTTCATACTTTTTCAAAATAACTAACTGCAATTTAGACAATATATCAAAAGACTTCAAACAAGGCATCGGAGAATAATTCCCTTTACCCGACTCTTCAGAAACATGAGGACTGAGACAAAGGGATAAAATATGAAAAATTGGATTCTGGTGCAGCTCAATGTGACCAAACCACACACTCCTGTCACACATTTACATTTGTGATGGTAGAGCAGAAAAGACCTTTTCTGGCACGCTTCCTGAACAACCAGATGGGATACAAATATCATCTAATGGTCGCTATGGAGACTTGGCGCCCCACACCCTCCACACCCTTTCCCAAAAAGCTAGTGCCACTCCTTGCTGCAGCAGTTTGAGAAACGTTTCCCTTTTCTGAAGCAAAATAACTAATGTTGAACCCAAATGAAATAGAAAAACTTTAGGTATTTTTCCTTGACAATAATATATTATTTGAGCTTCTACTTCTATATGCTTTATACATTTGCAGTACAAGTTATTGTATTGTAGTTATTGTAACTTGCCTAATCCAGATCTAACATTGATCTTTGCCTCAAAAAACATTTCTCCCTTTGGTTGTGAGTTTTGCTCTAGATTGTCCATCGTTTTTTTGTTTTTGTTTTTTTTTGTTGCAACATTTAAGAAACAGATTTTTATTCTCTTAATGTCAGACATATGTATTCAGTAAACCTAGCGACCATTGGCCTGATTATTTCAACAGTTTTGAAGGAGCTTGGAGTAATCGGTGTAATCAGGATGTCCCACTGTGAGGCAAAACTGGAGCACAGGTAAAGGTAGAGCAGGGGGACTTTACTCAGCCAGCTGGCAGATCTCAATACAAAACCTCTTTTGTGATGCAGAGAAAAGAGATACTGTCTGCAGTATTAAAGAACCACTGACCTACTAACACATTTCTGCTTGCTACGGACAAAGAAAGTTATTCCACTAATGCTACAGATACTTTCATTGCCCTTTGTGAGTTTATAAGTAATAATTTTACTCCGCCCTTAAAAGAGACTCAACATTTTTTAGGTTGTCTAACCAGAACTCTGTCACTTTTACAATGCTTCATGTAAAAGTGAGATCTACATAGATGTGATAAATTATTCACATGATCTGAAACAATGGCAGTATAATCAGTGTAACTCTCTGACCCACAACAAATATTGGGAAAATTTGATCAGTCTATTTTGCTAAATGCTAATATAGTTTGGATTTGATCAATGGAAACCCAGCTTGGTGAACAATTTCTTTTAAATTTTGCTAAGTGACACTTCTACTTTTCCTCTTGTGCTATGCATGAAACGTTTACTCTATAAATAAATATATATTCAACAAAACATAGTTTTCTCTATCCAGAGTGTATGATAACTTTTGGATTTTTTTCTATCCTTTTGGTGCTTTTCTGTTTTATTTAAATTAACTGAATCTGCATAACCAAAAGCCAATTTTTTATTATTATCTTTTATCATTACTGTGTAAAAACTGTAAAACAGTAAAAACAAAAAAATTGTTAAAAAATTATTCTTTGGGCTAATTTTCTCTTAAAAAGATATTCCTTTCTGTACTGAAATTGAAATAAAAAATTGTCTTGTTTTTTTTTTAAATTCTAGCTAAATGCTCTTGTTTATCAGAAATAACCTTTTGAAATCGTTAACTTTTAACTTTTTAGAAAAGATGCAGTTTTTTGGAGATTATCTCATTCATTTTATGACTGAGACGGTTCAGTTCTTCTTATACAGCAGGATTAACTCAGGTTATGTGAATGGAGTCATTTGCATATCTCCTGTTTTGCAACTTCATACAGGAAAGTAATTCAATGCTATACTAATGTATTTAAATTATTTTACACAACCAGAAGGACTAGGTGGCCAGGGACCTTTACAGAGCATGATTCAGAAAACATGAGTTCATACAAAGGTAGAACACGAATGTGTCATTTCCCACTTCTGTTTTGGTGTTCCTTACATAAAAAAAACAACAACAAAAAAACAAAAAACAAAACAGTATCCATGCTGATTAAGTTTTAGATTAGCTCGTTTTATTTTTCTCACTTCAATTTAATAGATGAGGGTTGCAAACGATGTGAAGAGTTTTTGTTTGGAAAAATGTCAGCAAAATTGATGTAGCTCTCTGGATTTTTAAAAAGAATGAGTGTCACTGAGTGGAAACTTGTAGAAATTCATCAAAGCAACAAAGAGGGGGGTTTAATCGGGTTTTTCCTGAAGTCAATAAAAGCAGCAGCAGTAGTCTCACTTCCCAGATCCACCCCCCCTCCCTCCTGCCTCTCATACCTTCCCCCCGGGCTGCACTCGCTGCTGCGGCGGAGTAGCTGCTGATTCACCCCCGGACAACCGGCGTAGCGTGGCGTAGCGCACCGTCACTCTTTATATTCACGCTGCCCTGGCTACTTGGCATTTTCCCCTGCTCCCCGTCAGGAAAGTTTGCTGCGGTTTGTTCTGGACTAATTGATCGAACGAAGCGTTTGTTTTTTTTTTAAGCCCACAGAAAGAGAAACACAGTAGAAAAGAAAAACAAAGTTTATTTTATTTATTTATTTATTTTTTGCCTCATCATGACCGCGGAGATGCGGCGAAGCAGCGGTGCATTTTCGGTAAGAAGATCATGTTTGTTTCACTCATTCAGCCTGTGGCTCTTCTGCCTGCTGCAGTTGCAGGCAGAGTTGTCCATTCATTGCTGATTCGAGTCTTTGTTTCGTCTTTATTGGGCTTTTCTTCCGCTTGTGGGCAGCTTTGTTTGTCTCTCTGTCATTAAACTTCCTTTATCCTTCTGGGCATTGTTGCTTTAACACGCTGGATATGTGGCAGCTTGGTTTAGTCGCACCGTCTGAACTAAATTAACAATCAGCGGCTGGTTGTTGGACGCAGAAGTTGGCGTGCAGCTTTTAGAATGACTTTCTTATCCTCACTTTATGTTAAAACGTGAGATACTGAAGCGGGTATTTGTGTTTCTCTATATTTAGCCAGGGTTAATCCCGTGTTATGTAATCTGGATGATTCGTGTAAAATATGGATAGAATTGCTCGAAAGGCGATACAAGCATGAAACTTTGCGTAAATGTTTTTATTTTTATTTTATCCAACAATGTTGGGGGGTAGAGACGAAAAAATGATTATAATTGTCTTAGCAACGGTCTCTTGGAAACCATTTTATTATGACCAACTGTTTACTCATTTTGTGGTAGTTAAAAAAAATTAAACTATTAGCAGAGCATAATTTATTGATGAAAATGCAACCAAACTATTTTCAAACTTAAACTTTTATTTGGTTCCAAATGAACATGGCGATGGCTGTTGTAATGCTATCAGAACTGTTGGAAGAACATGGTAAATTGCTGTTTATGGAGGCTTCATTGGGTCTTTGTGAGAAATTGAGATCACTGTGACAATGGTATGTCTCTGCCAGAGTTGGACCTCAAGATACTGAAATATGTGTGAGATGGTTCAAGATCAGATTTTCAAGCATTTCCACAAATACCCAATTGGATTTGACTTTGCACTCTGAATAGACCAAGGATGCCCAAGTCCAGTCCTTAAGCTCTACTGTCCTGCAGCTTTTACGTGCCTCCTTTCTCCTTTCTAGAATCAAACGGCTCATCAGCATCTTTTTACCTCTGCAGAGACCTGTGAGCATTCATGTGATTCTGGTTTGTAGAAGGAAGAATGCATCTCAAAGTTGCAGGATGGGACATGTTGACAGGATTTCAGCTCTCCTGGCCGAGACCAGACCTGAATGTTCTCTGATGTAAACTGTTACTCTGGACATGTGCTAATGGGTGTCGCCATGCTGAAGGGTGAACCTCTGCCCAATGTTTGAAGCCTTTTGGAGCCTCTAGGGTTTTATCAGCGCCCCTCAAATCTCGCCACGTATGAATAGAAATCCCCAGAATGCAACGTTACAACCACCATGTTTCACATCTGTGCTGGTTTTCGGCCACGCTTTAGCCAAAATGTGTGCATCTTGGTGTTTACCAACCATCAAACGCATTCTTTCATGTTTGTTTCCCCAACCTGGCTTGACTTTCCTTATTTTCTAACCAAATACATTTTCATGATTCTGTATGTTGGTGACTTGTGTTCAGGATAACATTCCCATTGGGAGTGAACCTCAAGTTTTAAGCATGTCTTATGGTGGAAACGCTGTTGGTAACGGAGTCCTCCGCTGCCAGGTCCCGATCAAGAACATCGAGCGGGAGCTGATCTGCCCCATCTGCAAGGAGCTCTTCACCCACCCGCTCATCCTGCCCTGCCAGCACAGCGTCTGCCACAAGTGCGTCAAAGAGCTGCTGATGCTGAACTATGAGGACTCGTTCGACGCTGGCTCTGAGAGCTCAGTGCCGGGCAGCCCGCGGTCCAGGGTGCCTTCCCCCTCCATGGAGAGGCTGGACAGGCTTGTCAGATCAGGTGAGTTTGGGCGGTAAGGAAAGCAAATTGATTAAATTCTCCTGTGGCTGGAGTGAATTTTTTTATTTATTTTTTTCTTTGTATTCCAGGAATGGGATTTACAGTTGAGGTGATTAGCGTTGGGGATCCACCGCGTTTAGTTATTAATGGGAGCTGCTGTCGGGGAAACGGTGCTTCGACCTGATTAGCAGCTATTTGAGCTGATGGAAATTAATAACCAGACCTTGGGAAGAGATGGGTGTTGGGTCATGTCTATCGGCTTCCACTGAAGTCAAAATTATTTTTTCCACAGTAGTGTTGACTTCCTGTTATTCTGTTCCTCTTGCAATTTCCTTTTCACTTCAGCTTTTAACTCTGCTTTCAAATCGCACGTAGTTCAAAATCACATTTACTTTATAGAAATGTACATTATCTTCCACGCCAATGAGCAGAAATGGGCAGTGTGAGTATTTTGTGAACAATAAGCAAATTTTTAGCTGATGCAAATGACTGGTTCAGAGTGAAAAGGCTTAGTTTGAGCAGCAGGAAGTAGGACAAGTATCTGTGTGTTTAAATGTGGTGCAGACACAGCCCTCCCTCCTGCTCTTGTCCCACATAAACTGGAACAAACTTTAGAAAACTGTTAATTTCAGTCAGCACCACTTCTAATCTCATTCTTTAAAGGCACAATGGAACAGAAAAAGGAATTTGATGGGCTGCTGGGTTAAAGTGCAGAGACGAGATCTGGCTGCCTCCCGATTGTCTCTGTCGGCTGCTTTTAATGCACCTGCGGGGAAACGAATGCCTCCTGGTCATTTTTTTTTTTTTTTTTTTTTGGGAATAAAAGAGTAGCTGCAACCTTCCAATCCTTCTACAGTTGTATGAAATGTATGTTTACTCGTTTAATTTAAACTTAAAATTCAGGGTTGGTTGAAGTGAGGTTGAGACGCTGCATGCTCAGATATCTTGATTATCCAGAGTTGGGGATTAGGATGATGGGAACGAGGCCTTTTGAGATGAATGAATGAATGCACTTTATTAATCGCAGAGGAAAATTCACATCCAAATTAACATAAATCATCCAAATAAAACTGGAACAAAGCACAAAGCTGGTCAGCAATTAAAAGTAGGATTAGGCTGGTGTAACTGCAAGAAATATTGTCATGTTGATGAAGGGTATATGTTTTTAACTTGACTTTTTGAATAAAATTTAAAGCTATAACCCTAAATTATTTTGAAGAGATGCATGTCTGATGGAAATTTAAATCTTAATCTAAACTGTATAGTTTTTATTTTTATTCTTTTAGAACTAATTCTCTGGATAATTTATCATTGTATAACTTGTTCCTTGTTTCTATAAATTTACACAGAAATTGCTTCTAAGTAGATTCAACAATTTTTATTTTTTTGTTTTGTTTTTTGGTTTGATTGCCTCTGACCTGACATGGCGTTCGGGTCAGAGACGTGCCGGGCATAAACTCAAGAATGTGAATTCTTTCTGATCCGTGAAAGCGTCCATATTCAAATGCTAAAAGTTAAACCAGCCACCTTTGACTCTACAATTAAGAGTCTCCTCAGATAACCCATCAGTAAGGTATTCAAAAAATAATTGCAAGAAGGATAAATTGTCAATGAAACTAGTGTAAAGAGTTTATCTTCTATGACCTGTTGAAACATGTTTACTGTCCACTTGGGCTTTTTTTTTTTTTTTGGTTACTTTTTTTAGTTTTCAACCTCTGTCGAAAATGTTCAATCAGAAAACATTGGCAGATGTATGAAGACCTGGCTTTATTTTTGGTAGCGAGATTCATCACCGATATATTTTTCTAACAGACTGTTTTAAAACTCAAATATGTAGCCATGTTGACTTCTAAAGTGTCAGTAAAGCAGTTTCAGAGTAACGGCTGTCACACCTCTGCTCGCAATAAAATAATCATCTACTTATTGCAGGAAGTTTAGAAAAAATATTTTCAGTTGCTGTTAAACCTCACAGAGAAATTGGAATAATATAGAACTTCCCTCAGGAGGTCAAAGTTTTCCGAAAACAGATAAGAAACCAAACTAAAAATTCGGATCGATGAATCTGTTGTGCCTTACTTTCCAAAAATGCCCCTGGCTATTTCAGATTTGACACGCTGTAGTTATGAACCCGAGATGCCACGTTGCCATAATGAACCAGAGGAACAGAAATCCCTGGAGTACAGTGAGGTGAATGGCTTTCAGTAAGTTATTCAGCCTTGGCTGAAAAAACCTCTGCATGCTTTCAGACTCTCATTCAGAGCCTGCAGCCCGAAAGAGCTCATTCTTCACAGACAGGACTGCGTCTGTTGATGCAGGAAATGATCAAATCCTCCTTTTAGTAAACAAATGACACAACTTGCTGGTGCAGAAACTAACTTTGTATTTAATATTTGTTGTCACTTTTTTCTTAACTTAGGCTGTTTTTTTTTATGGATCTTGTGGAGTTCCCTCTGTGATTAGTGGTGAATTTGCTCACGTCTTGAACGCATCTAATCTGCAGATTAAGAGGCTCAGGTTCTGTGGGATTGGGGTGTTTTTTTTGCTCAACTTTAAGCACACTGCTGGCTCAAACTGACAAATGGGGAGACTTGTTGTTGTTCTGCCCCCACTCCTCGGCGATCAGATAACGTGTAGCCATAGTGATGCGACTTGCCTGTGAGGAATGAATGAGGGATTAGATGAACGGAGGGAAAAAGACTTAAGCCTATATTTGTCGGTAGCCAGCTCGGACAAGATGTACTGGGAAAGAAGTCGGTGGTAAAAAAAAAACTGTTCTTTTTGACTGTTTAATTTTGATGATGAAATGCATCAGTTAAGATAAAGTAGTTTAAATGTCATGGAGATGTTTTATACAAAAAAAACTCAATTGCACAAAATTGAGAGGTCAAAACTCTTGAGTGAACAAATCCAAAAAAGAAACTAGCGTTTATTGTTGACCAGTAAGAAATGTGATGAATTTATCTCCATAACTGATAAGTTTCAGGTGTGAAATAAGAATGGCTGTATATAATTGGATTAAAAAGTTAATGGTTGGGCTTTTTGTCTGTTGGGTGATATCTAAAATCTCTGCTTTCAAGGACTTTCAGTTTCAAAGACCAAAGTTTAAAGGCCTAATATAAGGTTTGCTAAACAAAGATGATGTGAAGGTTTACCTTGGTCTTTCTGGTTGAAGGACAAGAAAAAGCTACAAAGATTCTGTTTGTTTTGTTTTTTTCCACAGGAACTGAGCCCCTTCACGCTACTGAAAATGTTTCTTCCAAGATGTTTTGGCACTCTGATTTACTCTGTAGAGAATTGTAATGTAGGAACAGCAAGACACAAGGTTATTTGTCGCCGTCCCTGCAGACAGATACTTTCACATTCTATTTCGGTTTCTATTCCTGAATGTTTATTTAATGACTTAAGAAACCAACTTTTGTAAATCAACACGATGCTCTGCATGTTAACTGGTCATTTGGCTGCAGAGACTGGCATTTAAAAGCAGCTTCATAACGGAGCTAAACAAAGGATTTTGTGACAGAAATTAAATTGGTTCCAAGGAATCTCTGCCCCTGGTTGCCACTAGAACTAGACTGTAGGGGGGGAATGCAGTAAGCCTTGTAGTGCTTAAGTAGAATATTGTATTGTCTAAATATTAGCCTCTCAGATAATATTGGTTCACATTGATTTGAGGTCGATTAGTTATGACAAAATATCAAATCGGCAGTATTTTGAAAAACGGGTTGTAGGTAAAACTAGTCGTACAAGTTTTTAAATCACTGTCGGACTCTTCTGACCTGATTCTTAACATGAAACATGTTTGTGGTGCCATCATTTTCATGTTAAGCCCTTAAGCTTAAAGATAACCAATCAGAATTGAGCGTTGGTTAAATATACTTTTTATTCACAACCTGTTGTCACGTTTTGTTTTCTTGCCTTTTCCTTAGTTTAAGTTTGCTTATCCACTGTAATGCTTCTACCAGCTGGATTCACTCGTCACTTTCACATCATGTATCATTTAATTTTTCTTGTTGGTCTCATCTCACCTCTCTGTCCATTGCTTGCAGCCGCAGGGCGAAGGTCGTTTGGAAGTCGAGGTAGACGCGGGATCCGTGTTTTCAGTAGCTATAGTAGTGAGTACAGTGTTGCCATAGAACCCCTCTAAGACCCTAGTTTGGTTGAACCTCTGCCTCTACATTTCCAACTTTACCTCTCAACACAACCATACAAACCCCACTCTGTCAGATGGAAATTTAAAGGAATATTTATCCGTAAAGAGGCCAGCTTGATAAGAGGGTTGTTTCATGCTGATAAAGGTTTTGAAAATGTTTTAAAGCAGACAGGGGCCCTCTGCCAAAAAGAACACAAAGGACCAAAATTGGTGAGGAAGTTTCCTGGGAGTTGGTCTAAAACTGGAATGTGTGTTCATTGGCTCGACTTCATAAATCCTGCTGGCGAGTAGAACAGTTTTATTAAGAAGGATTAATGTCGTTCTCAATGTAAAAAGATAACGGCATATAAAGTTGAAAGCCTTAAGCATGTTTAAGCTTTCTGTGAGTCTCAAGTATTTTATGGACAGACATGTTTGCCCTCCAGCTCTTTCTCTTTAATCCCAAACCTGACAATCATACCATAGCTAGTAAAAAAAACTAGACGATAAAAATGTCTCGTCTACTGCTAATTATTTTATACGTTTGAGGTTTTAGATGAATCACACCGAAGACTTAGAAAACAGACTCAATATCTACTTTGTTGATGCTCAGCTTTCGTTAGGATCAGGAGTAACAAACTATTCAAAAAATATATTCACCTCTTAATCCAAAAACAAGATGCCTTGGAGCATAAATAAGTTTTAAAGAAAATTGAAAATGGGTAACAAAGATGATTTTGGATTTGAAAATAAAAACCAACTTCTCACAAAATTACTTGGTCAGAGTCGGATGCCATATAATGCCAAGTATTGACTCACCCATCCATATCAATGGCATGAGCATTTCCAATCACATCCATTCATACATGTACATAAAATCAGGACCGAGGCAAGCAGACTGCCTCTACAAGCATTTGTGAAAATGTCACTTTAAAGTCTTTGGTAATCTTCAACGTTGTAACATGAAATGCCACCAATTTTCTGCAAAGACAAAGGCTAAAGACCTCCAGGGATTGGGAAAGTATAACAGAAATGTAAACTTTTTCTTTCAGATAAGTGATTATTATTGAATAAGAAACAATTCAAGGAACTTTTGTTTTCTTGATTGTGGGGAAAAATCTCTTGGAGGAAATTGTCCCTTTTCAGACCTTCAATGACTTATTTAAAGCTCTTTCTTCAGCTCTAGAAAATAATTCATACATGGATAGTTTTGCTATAGGTGTATTCTGTCTGCAGTCTATTCACACACTCTGTCCTGAGTCGTCATGCGGTCCGAAGACATCCATTTATTGATCATAGAAATGACTGTGGGGTTTATTAGTTGCTCTAAATGAGGCTTTCATCATCCAATGACTTATGTTGCCATAATGTGCATTTATCTGTAGGAAGGTTTTGGTTCATATTTTGCCCATATTCAGAGTTTACCACCTTCTAGTCAACCATCCCCACACAGTCACCATCTCACCTAGCATGCACATGGCTACACAAATCAGTTTGCTGCTGCTGTGTCACAGCTTTTTACTTTCCTTCAGCTCCACCTTATTCCCGCAGAAGTGCTGTTTGAAGTGGCCTCCTTGTGTGTTTGGCTTACCTGAGGAGTGTTTGATTTAATTTCCAGGTCCCAGGAAACGAAGTGGAAATACTGGCTTGCAAACTGAGATAAATCCAGCACTCCTCTCTTCCCCTGTCCCCCAAAAACGTGAAGCAATATTTTGATTTCTGTGTGTTTACTGACTTAAGTTTGCTGGCTTTCAGTGTGGTCATACTGCTTGTCTCTGTGATGTGATCTTGTGAACAGTTTGTGCTGCTGCCTTGTTGTGATGCTGCTGCAGCATCGGTAACAAGATGGGTATTGTGCAAATCTCTTGAAAGCTCTGCTGCTTCAAGAGATTTTTAGTGTTGAACTGGACATTTGTGCATTTGCTTGACATTTATATCTATAGCATTTTACTACTTTGCCTCATGGTTATGTTCTGTTAAGATAATTTTTATTTTTGCAATGGGAAAACTCATTCAAATCACTGATTGCACTTAAAATTAGCATCACTTTCATTGTAGGTGTTGGATGACATGGATATATTTTTAATTAGCTGGTAGGTTCCAATCTTCATCGATTGCAGTCTTCATCTGATGAATCCTCACTAATGCTCCATTCTTCCCAGTTGGTTCCCCTTCTGTACTTTTTTCCTCTGGGTGACCTCTGCTCCCTGCATTGCCTGTGCTGGTGTTTTGCTCCATGTTTCTGAGCAGTTGTCATTGTGGAAATAAAGCACAAAAGGAAACATGCAGAGGCCCTATTTGTGAAGGCTGCGCACAATGGCATTTTGGCCTTAAGATCATAGCCGGCATGTCACCCCCAATGATGTAATGACCCAGAATCTAGCACAGATGAGGTCTCGGATTCAACAAAGACCCCCATTTGACTCTCATGGAAACTATTCCCTTCTTGTAATTCATTACATTGATGCTCGCATGTCCAAATAGAGCCTCTAACAAGACTGGAACCATTATGGCCTGAGGGTGTGAATCCAAATGGCACATGACCTTTACCTAATGCATGGCTCTTTGCTTTCCTTCAGGTTCGATCTCATCCCCGGGCTGGCGCCGAGGGTCTGTGACTCCCCGGGTCACCGCCATCCCGTGCCCCGGCTGCCAGCATGACATCGACCTGGGAGAGCGCGGCATCAGCATGTTGTTCCGTAACTTCACCCTGGAGAGCATCGTCGAGCGTTACAGGCAGGCTGCTCGCGCGGCCGTTGCAATCATGTGTAACGTCTGTAAACCTCCAAACCAGCAGGAGGCAACCAAGAGCTGCATGGACTGCAAAGCTAGCTACTGCAACGAGTGCTTCAAATTACACCATCCCTGGGGCACGCCCAAAGCCCAGCATGAGTACGTTGGTCCCACCACGAATTTTAGGCCAAAGGTAAACGACAACGCTACATGCGAGATGTGATTATGTGAAGGCTGCACATAATTTTTTTTTTCTGAACAGTTTTTTAGTTTTTGACTGCCAGGTCTTGGATCAGTTTTGGACAAAACTTGTGGTTTTAAAGCTTTTTTTTCTCCAACACTCTTTAAGTGTTACTAATGTAAAAAAAAAAAAGCTGATTTTAACTTGCAAAAATTAAGCTACTATTGAGTATCTTTTTTAAAATTTTATTTTATGTTTTTTAGGTTTAGAGAACAAACATAAAAAATACCCCTCGTGATCTATGTAGTCAGTATCTTTTAAATTTGAGTCTGTAAAATATGATCTTCTCAAATGGAAACTTTGTCTGAAACGGATAAATGCATTGAATACTAGCGCTTATTGCTAACCGTTAGCCTCGCCATTAAGCAGCGAGGCTAACATTTACAGCAATTAGTAAATTTTACTGCTTCAGATAAAATGCAAAGGTTACCGTGTGAGGATGAAACCTAAAAAGATTCATAGACTTTTAGAGAAGCTAAATTTAATCGAACTGCTCAACTTAAAAATGCTTGACCTCTATGGGGGACCTTGGCATTTAAAAATGCAGTTTCATCTCTGTGTATTTTAGGACTTATTATTATTCAGAACTTCCTACTACTTAAAGTTCAGATCCTCTTCCCGTTTCCCTTCAGCTCATTTTTGATCTGTGTTGCTTCAACCTTGCATGCAGTTATCTGCTCTCCAGCCGACTGTTTCATACATTCTTCAGGTCTAATTTTAACTCCTTGTTTAAATGGATGCTGTAACTCTATAGTATGCAGCTGTGTGCAGCACTTGTGCCCCAGACGACTTCCTCAGACAATAATGGTGTGATATGTTGAATTTCTCAGGTGCTCATGTGTCCAGAGCATGAGATGGAGAAGGTGAACATGTACTGTGAAGTCTGCAGACGGCCGGTGTGTCATTTGTGCAAACTGGGAGGGTCTCATGCCAACCACAAAGTCACTTCGATGAGCAGCGCTTACAAGATCCTCAAGGTACAAAGACGGTTTGCTTTCCTGAAGAGGGAGAAAAAAAAAGATGAGTTGGAATAAACTTAAATTGTTTTTCTGCTTTGTATTTGGGAGTGCTACAAAAAACTTTCTCCAGATAACAAAGATTATAGTCTGAGTGAGTCAGTGGTGATGTTGTCATGGGCTGAAAAACACTTTGGACTATTGATATTTTTACAAAAAAAATCCTACATGTTGGACCTCATTTGTTACAGGGGAATGCGTTCAGTGCATATGGTCACGCATTACAAAACTTCCACAGTTGTATTTAACTCGAGTTCGATTAAGTGTCGTATAGAAAATCTCATTTGCATTTTGTATTTTATCATCCCGTACCATGAATCGGCGAGTCGCTGGATCTTTTTCTCCTGTTGTAATATTAATGCTTCTTCTGTGTGCACCAGACTGTTGACGATTCCTCTGTGGAAATTGAAACCCAAGTGGAGAAACATCAGATTTATGTCCCCAGCATAGTTCATTCTTGTCCCTTTTATATTTTTCAAAATGTATGGACCCCCCTAAGAACCTATAATTTAGATTTGAGACTTTGTTTGCTGCGGCTACGAAAAAAATTCTGAAAATTAAACCTTAAACGGAATAATCTTGGTTTAAAAATATGAAATGGTTGATTAAATCTCTGGTGCTATTCAGAGCACGTTCACTGCAACCCTGTGTGCTCGTCTGTGTGGCTGCAAACAATGCGTTCTTACATATTTAATGAGACCATTTGTTCCTCATCATTCTGCACACATTGTAACTTCAGAATAGATTGTGTATCAAATGATCTGAGCGGCTCTGGAAACCTCTGTCAGTGAGTTGTTTTGAGTTTCTGCTGCTTCTAACACTAATGTACACTCGGAACTACTTACAGTTGCTGCTGTGAATTGTGGGATGGGAGGTAAATATTGATCTGACCCAAGGCTACACAGGATGAGTGTTGGCACAAACAGAATTACACAAATGAGATCTTAAAGTGGTTCCATGTTTAAAGCATTAGTAAAAATATACTTGAATGCATGATGTTGTACAAGTTGTTTGAAATGAAATATTCTTTAAATGCTGCTGATCTTTTGTATCCCTAGGAGAAACTAGCGAAGAGTATCCATTATCTCATCAGTAAAGAGGACCAGGTCAGGACTCAGATTACTGAGCTTGACCGGCTCATCAGTCAGACGGAGGTAAGGGAGAGAGGACGCTGACTCATGCTGCTGCAACTCCTTCATTCTCTGCTCTGCTCAGGGTTTTTTTTTATTGTACTTGACATTCTGAAAATATTTTCTAACATGTTTTTTTATGCAATTAAAGAATACTATAACATAAAAGAGATATGGGGAAATTCATGAATATCGATGCAACCTATCAGTTGGTCGGATACTCTTTGTATGAAGATGAAACTGAGAGGAATCCAAAGCTCAGTTTGAACTCAGTTTCTTTAGACTACTTTTTATTTAAAATGCTCTACCCTTTTCTCTTTGAAGTTGGACTTTAGTACACATCCTATTAATATATCTGAGCACAATGAGAGAATTTTGGGATGCTCTTGAGTTTCAAAATGAATCAAAGCTGTTCTCTGTTGGAGACTTCAACACCGTAGTCTTCAGAATATTTGGATATAAAAAGCAGTTGCATTCATCAACCTTTCATTTATCTTTTGCATTTTTTTTATATGCATTTTTTTTATTTTGGGGGGGTTTAAATTTGTTTTTATTTATTTATTTTTTTTCCTGAAGGAAAATGGACAGCTTGCAGAGCGTGAAGCCAACGAACATTTTGAACGTCTGTTTGAGACTCTTCAAGAAAGAAAATCGGAGATGCTGAGATCCATTGAACAGTCCCGTAACAGACGCATAGACCAACTGAAAGGCCAGGTAGAAAACATCTTGATATACGTTTGGCCAATTAAATTAAACCTGGATAATTTAATTATATGAAACTAACTGAGGCGTTTTAATACGTTTAGAAACTGTATGCTTTTATTTGTGTTTTTAGAGTATGTATTTTATTATTATTTTTTTTTTTTTTAATGTGTTGCTTCTTTAAAACTTTTGCAGGTGGAGGAGTACCAGGGTATGTTGGAGAACAGCGGCCTGGTTGGCTACGCCCAGGAGGTGCTGAAAGAGACCGATCAGTCCTGCTTTGTCCAGACTGCAAAGCAGCTACATGTCAGGTACACAGCAGAATATTATTGCTAACTGGATCGATTCAGAAAAATGATCAATACTCGGGTTGGCAGTTGCACGAAGGATCTTCTGCAAAGTTAAAGTAATATTACAGCTGTGTTTAAACGGAGCTTAATATTACAGTGCAATGCCTAAAACCAGGAAACATGTCAACTGCATCTACTAAAACACAGTAACTTTTAATTTTTTTTTTTCATGTGATGCGATGAGATTAATTGACTTAACTTTTTTTAATGTTTTTAAAATAGTCCGACATTCATTTTTGTGAGCTTTAACCTCTCGGCCCCTTAAACATGCATATAAATTGTGGGATGGAATATGATCTATTAAACATTTTAAATTGGCATGCAGAATTTGCATGCATAGTATTTGACTCGTGCAGACAGGTTGATTCAATGTAGCTTGCGTTAATCTACCCATTAAATATTTTGTGCAATATAACCAGCTAAGCAAATGGAGAAGTATGTATCTAACCGAAAGTAAAAACCCTGCTACAGTTTTGACAATAGTGCAGAAATCTACAAGACAGGTGTGTTACTTAACCTTGACATTGCAGACAAATATGGCAACAGATCAAACTCTGCAACCAATATGTGGCAATGGGAGTAAATGGCTAATTCATCGTTTCTATAAAATGGGCTTGCATAAATTCTTAACGCAGTATAAAGACACTTAACTACATAAGATCATACATCCCCTCATTTCCTCTCGACCTCATCATCCTCAGAAACTCGCATACCCGCTCACATTAATGACATCTGCTCACACAGACGCACAACTCCATTTATGCTCTTAACAATAAAACACAAATTCACTTATTCATACACTCCATTTACTTTCTCACATATGGAAACGCATTACAACTGAACGCATCTTTGTTTGTTTTTTTTGGTCAAGATTTAGTCATGTGGATGAACATTTGGAAATCTGTTATGGCCTCTAAGTCCAGGGGCAAAACTTGTGCAGATCCAATGCAATAAAAATGTTATTAACTGGAATGTTGCAATGTATCAAATCACAATTATGATCATAGCTACAATGCTGCCAACATTTGCAATCCCAAAGGCAGCACTTAAAGCACCATGCATTCAGACTCTGCTGGCCAATCATAATTGTGGCCAGAAGGATAAACTTTTATACCAGTGCCAGATGTAGATAAAAAATTGCTGATGGAGTGATGGGACCATTGTGATGATGTAAAATGGAGGAAAGTCTGACTATTTTATTTATTTTTGTTGGATGTCTTTACTTGTTCCCTTGCTGCTGTTCTTAGTTGGGTTGGGTGGGTTTATTTTAGTGTTCAGCCTATTAAAGTGGTTACGTATGTGACTGCGATGTGTTGGGAACACAGTCATGTGCACAGAAGGGCACTTAAGGAAAGCTTTTTGCTGCAGTGGCCCATCGGCGCTGAGTGTTGCCGTATCTTCTGCACTAATCTGCTTAATTAATCTGCTTTAGCAGCTTTGGTTAATCTGGGAAAGTTTTCACTCTGGGGAATTACAGTGGCGAGTTTAGTTTTCTTGATAAAGCTTTCATTTAGTTTATAGTTGGTCTATATTTGATTGCTTAGACGACCCCAGGCTAAAAACTGTGAAAGATCAGACCTCATGCAAGACGGTCTCTTCAGTAAATATCTGTGTTGATTCATTTTAACGTTTGTGGGATTTTTCTTGATTTCTTTCTTGCTTGTTCTTCAGGATTCAAAAAGCCACCGAGTCACTAAAGACCTTCCACCCTTCAGCTGACCCTTGCTTTGATGAGTTTGTGCTGGACACGTCCAAAGAGGAAACTTTGCTGAAAGAGATGTGCTTCGGTGGAGGTATAGCCACTTGGTTGCATTTCTTTGCTTAAATCTTCAGTATTTGTCTGCTTGTGTAATGTTTCTGTCCTCAAATTTAAATTAAAAATATGCTTGGAATTTCAAAAAATATATAGATTTTTGTCAATGAACATGCAGCTCATTCTTGGACAACTCCAAAAAAAGTAAATAAAATAAAATGTAGTCTTTTTTGTGTGTGTGTTCATTAAGCATGTGGACACATTCCCTGTGCTCAGCCTTTTGGTTTAATAGTGCTGTTGATGGCCATAACAAGTGGTTTATAATCGCCTACATGTCACATGCTCAGCTCTGTGAAAGGGCAAAGAGGTCAGAGGTCGTCTAGGGTAAGCAAGTTGAGCAACGGATACAATGATGGCAATATGATCTACCATGCTCTGTGCCGTCTATGAAAGAACATTAATAAATACATGCACATATAGAATGGAGCCCATTGACATATTCAAGATGCAATAATTATATAAACGGAAAGGCGTATACAATTATCTGTTCAGATGAGCGCATTTGAAATATTATACTGATTTGGGAGACGGCTGAGGTTAAAATTACCCGACTCTTATGAATGTTGTACATCAACAATAAATTTCCAAAACCCTCTAGAAAATTCCAGAAAAGATTGAAGTTAATTATTTTGTCAAGTGTGTGGGAGATTTTCTTTCCTTTTTCTTTTTTTGATGTAAAAATAAGCTTAAATGGCCTTTTAACTCCTCGTTTAAATGCGTTTGTCCAAAACCTATATTTTATATCTAGCTCAGTGGCAGCTGTGTCTGAAGTCTTGAATGCATGTAGGAGCTCTCTGTCAACATTGATGTGCATCAAGCCAAGATTTCTAATCGCTCTCCTCCTCCTTCTGTCTCTGCTTAGTTTGATTACAATCAGAAATACCTTTAGTCTTTAATTATTAGAGATGGACTAAATCTAACTCGGCAGTGCTTTTTTTTAACACCAGATAGCTGACTTGATCTTTTTTTGTTTTTTTTTATGTGAAAGTGTTGCCTGAATCGGTCCTAACAGTCTTTAAGGGAAGAGTTTAACAGATTTAATGGAGCAGTTGGGTGGCAGCTGTATCGACGTTACTCTAATCTATACAGCCTGCAGGCCTTTGCTGCAGTGACTCACTCTCTTGTGTTCAGAGGGAAAAGATGCTGCAGAAGCTTTTTTGTGCTGCAGTAAATGAGTTCAGGTCTTGGTGGATGATGCATCAGTAAATACAGAACTGCTGCATATGTGGAAGAGTGCGCCATGCTAGGAGTTTTCATGTCTGCACCTGTTTGTTGGGGTTATGCAATAACGATGATCAGTGATTTTTACAGAATTTTTTTTCTTCATGGCGATTGTGTTTCCATGTCTTCTGGTTCTGTGTTTTATGATTGAGGATGATTAATCTACTCTTAAGAGCCCCTGAAAGACTTGAACTTGATTCTCATTTGTGCTCTTTTTCCAATTCTCACAAAATGTTTGGTCAAGATAGTTTCACTAACATCCTCAAAACAAGCCTAATTTTGTCAAATCTGTACTCGATCTTACATTTGTCACAACCTTGTTGCCTGATTACTCATCTGCAAAAAAGACAATCCCTCTAGCTTGGTGTTTGGTTTTCAGAATTATATCAAGTTGAGTAAATAAATCCAAAATGAGATCCCCATCTTATGCAGCTTTAACTGATTTTGCAGACAAAATGTGAAATCAAAGCACAAAAAGATGTAAATGGTGGATTGGCAATGGTGCTCTTATTGTATTGTGATTTTCAGAAGTTAATTATTTAACTCCATTTGAAAATGCACAGTGCCTTTTTCAAAAAGGAGAGCAGGCTGTAAAGAAATGTTTTCCAGACAGGTTAGTTGAGTAAATCTGCATTGGTAGAGCTTTTTAAAAAGCAGCCAGCAAGGATTTGAAAAGATGAAATGAAAACTGAAATATTGAACGAGTGAGAACGTCGCTCTGTCAACTTTTAAAAAGTTGGTGACCTTTCAGGTTAGTGATGTGAAGTGTAATGTGCTGAGAGTTTTCCCTAAAGTTTGTTTGATCTCCAACGTCGCAGTTTGACAAATGAAAAGCAAAAGACAGATTTTATGGAGGAATACTTTCTCACAGCACTGTAGAGAAACCATTAAGAAATTAAAGAGGTGTAAATGTTTTTAAAGCTTCTGTGAGATGGTTGCTGTTTCTTAGGCAAGCTCTACTTCCTGTAAATGGAGAAATATTTTAAATGTGTGGAGGAAAGGTCAACTGGGAGTGAGAAGGAGAGGAAGACCGTCGGTGCACAGTGTGTTTCTACTTCCAGGCAGCGATTCTGTAAAAACCTTTTAAGCTCCATTAAGCAAAGTCCTCTTATCCTTTCTGCTGAGTGGGAAGTGATGATCCAACCCAATACGTTTCTTAAATTAGGACAGTTTCATTCTTGTCAAAGTTGATAATGAAGGGCAACACTTCACATTATAGGAAAGCTATTTCAACTCTGCTTTGTCTGAGACAAATTTCAAGAATATATGTAAACATCATGGTCTTTTTTATTATTTATTTTTTTGGACATTTACCATTTCATGTGTAGATTTAATTCATTCTTTCTGCTCCCCTCTCTACCAGTCCCAGACCCCCCTCTGATTGACTGGTCCCACAGCAGAGTTTACAACGAGGCCTCCATCTGCTGGAGGCTCTCTGAGGACCATCTACCAACAGATCACCATGTTCTAGAGTATCGCAAGTACGTTGAATTATAACAGTCACTCAACGCATTATAATGAGAAGAAATCTTAATTCCATCATCTTGTCTTTCAGACTTGGGGGACAAAGCCAGTCTCCATCTCCTGGGAATGGAGAGGACAATGGCGTCTGGAGGGCTGCAGACAGGGTGTATGGGTCCAGTGCTGTGGTGCACGACCTGGAACCTGACAGTCGGTACGCCTTTAGAGTTCGAAGCTGCAGGAACTCCATGTTCAGCCCGTACAGCCCAGAGGTCTCCTTCCACACTCCACCTGCACCTGGTAAGTTATTTTTACCCTTTTCCACTTTTTTTTTTTTTTTTTTTTGCATGGAAGTTTTTTTTTTTTTTTTTTTTTAAACGGTTTCATCTCTATTAGAGAATCTTTTTTTTTTTTTTCTTGTGTAGTTGAGGAACTGTATGCATTCTCTTGATAAAGTTGGATTTCAACTTTCATCATTAAAAAGATCTGCACTTGCAGAGCTACTGGAAAGTATGTCCATGTACTGTATAGTTTATGCAATCAGTATCTGGCTGCGCCTGCTTTTGCATAAATCCCTTCATCAACTCAGCCTGTAGGTGCTCAACTTCTGGCCCTGCTGAGGTGTTGAACAAGCGAGGGAGTTATTCTTTTTGCTTGGGCATCTTTTACTACCACACTTTTCCTTCTACTCAGTTCTCCACTAATATTTGGTTACATCACTCTGAATAGCAGCTTCTTGCGCCAAAAAAGTGCTGGACAACTGTCATGCCATTGTGTAGGCCGTAACATTGGTGGTAAAACATTTTCTTGGTTTAATAACTTAATTTTTGTTGGAAAGAATTTTTATGAATCTGTGACCGATTTGTCAATTTCACTCTTGGAATTAGAGAAATGAATTCATTTGTTTTTCAAACTGCACCTCTCATCCTGCTTGTACAGTGTGCTTGGCAATATTGAAAACAAATTCAAAACGTTGACAAAAAAAAACATGACAAACGAGACAAGAAGTCTTCAAAATCCACTTGAATTAATGTTTTATTCATGTTTTAATTTGAGAAGCACCTGTACTTCTAAAACTAAACTATTACAGAGATGCAAAAATGTAAACCAAGTAGAAAAATCTTTACTAATAGATTGTTGATGGTGTCAAATGCATTAAAGGGCAAACAGGCTACTGGAGCCACAATCCCCCTTTGTTGGCCTCATTTTGGCAGAAGCAGCTAAGCTCCTTCTCGCTGCAGTTTCTGGGAGCAACTGGTGACATTGTGATCATTTATTTTCTCCTAAAAAGATCATCAGATGACAAATTAGTTTTGTTTCTAAATACTTAATTGTGTTGGAGTGCCTACAACAGGAGGTAATGAAGCAGAAGGGCTGTTTTTTGTCTTTTAATGAAGTTGGTTACCATGGTGATTTTCTAATCATTTTTGATGTAGCTAAAAGCAGTGTAGGTCATGTTTGTGTGGGAGGGAACAGTCTGACAGGTTGGAAATTCAAACTGCTGGCACATCTTTCTTGGCATCGTTTGCACTTGGAAGGAGGTTTATCCAAAATGTACTTAAATTCTCTTGTCTGGACTTCAATATAAACTGAAAAGATTGGAATCCGTCCAGTAAGTTACCTTCACTATTGTCTCTGTTCTGGTCTGGGTATGTTGGATTCAGATTTGTATGAAAATGCATAGATTTATTATGGATCTTTTCAGACACAAAATCATCTCCCAACATATTTTGCAGTAATTAAAATATTAAACTTTTTCTAATCATATCATCATTTAAGTGCATAACATACTGTAGCTTTGATTGTGTGTGTATTGTATCAGGATTATTTTTATTTTTTTTGTGTGTTTTTTTTTAGGAGTTTTTTTTTTTTTTTTTTTTTTTTTTTTTTTGGTACAACATATCTTACTGGATCTTTTCTTTCCCCATCTCTTAATATATTGAGGAAAAGCATCTTTACTAGACTGCTGCTGACCCAGATTTATTCCATATTTTATTGGGGATAAATAAGTTTTATATTTTCCTTCAAGCATTTACTGCTTAGTTGTTGGCTTGCAGCAGTCCTGCTATTTCAGCTAACCTCAGTACTGTGGCAGAGCTGCTGTTTACCCCTCAGCTAGATTCATCTATTGTGTTCATGCCCTAGTTGGTATGAGGACTTCCCTGATAAATGCAAATGGTTTGGTTTTGCCTAAAGACGACTTGAGGTTGCGGTGGGATGGCTGAGTGAACATGTCGGCCCATGTGTCCTGGATTACTGTAATCATGGCCTTCGGCCCAAAAGCCATTTATAGACTTCATTTAATTGTAAGGAGATGATGTATGTAAATGGAGCAAGAGATAAGAGGTGGCGATTCTGTTGGTGCATAAACCTTTTATACATTTTAAAATGGTGTCATAGCGCCCTCTTGTGTTGGTGTCTACCACTTGCCTTTTAAAAAGTCCAACTATTTAAATCCTCAAGGTTTCTTCTAAAATTAACTATTAATATTTTGACTTATAGGACTTTTATTCCTGATTTCTTTTTTTCTTTTTCTTCCCATAACCATCCCCATCTCCTCTTTCTTTCCATGTGCAGTTTTTAACTTCCTGTTCAGTGACAAGTGTGGATTCAGTACCGAGCGCCTAATTTTGAACAATCGTCGGGATGCTGTGGAGAGCGTGGCGGGAATGGCTTTCCTCCTTTCAGCAGAACGTGTGCAATCCGGCAGCTACATCGGTCTGGACTACATCATTGGGGACACGGGCATCTCCCAGGGGAGGTACGGAAAAAAATAATGGCATAAAACAAAATGCTTCATTTGCAACATCAGCATATTCATTAAGGATTAGGGGAGTCATGTAACTGCTATTGTGTCTGTTCACAAAATTGTGGGGGAGAGAAAGTGAATAAAGCTTTGTCTTCTCCAGACACTACTGGGCCTTTAAGGTGGAGCCTTACTCCTACATGATTAAAGTTGGCGTGGCTTCTGATACCAAGCTGGCTGAATGGTTCCACAACCCAAGAGACACCAGCAGTCCAAGGTTTGTGCTAAACAGACAAGATCTAGGTAACAAACACAAGGAGTTCTACTAAACGACTAAATCTGCTAACATAATCCTATTTATGCAAGAGAACTAGTGTGAACTCATAAAGAGCTTACTCACAGACAAAGCCGACCTTTCACATTGGATCCACTCGCGTTAAACCAAAGAGAAACCTTATTTTGACAATTAAAATCTGTGGTAATTGCATAAGGTGATAAGCATTCAGTAAGTAATTGGAGAAGAATTTTATTGTATTTTTTTAAATATATATATCAGAAAATCATGTGTGAAGAAAACTGTTTGGCTCCAATTTTATATATATTTTTTTTTTGACAATTTGTTGTCAGGAAGGAGAACTGTAAAAGACATCAAGCTGGCCTCTAAATTAGGTGTAAAAATATTCATCTGCAATGGGTGTCGCCTTAAAATAATTACAAGAACTTTTGTGTCACAAGCTCAAGTATTTCAGTACAACTTGGTGAAATGCAATGCTAGGCTGTGTAAGGATCTGTTGGGGAAAGAGAGGATCATCCTGAATCTTTTTTTCCTTTCTCCAGGTATGACCACGACAGCGGACATGACAGCGGCAGCGAGGATGCATGCTACGAGCTCTCCCAGCCCTTCACACTCATCACCCTGGGCATGGGTAAACTCTTTATCCCCAAGGCCTCTTCTTCCTCCTCCGTTTCCAATGCAAATTTATCATCCGGCGACCCAGGCAACCGCGTGCTTCCCATGCCCCAGCGCCTGGGCGTATGCTTGGACTATGACGCACATCGGGTGTATTTTTACGACGCCGACACCATGAGGTGCCTTTTCGAGAGGCAGGTCGACTGTTCGGGAACGATGTTTCCAGCCTTTGGTCTCATGGGCAGTGGAAAGGTCCAGCTGGAGGAATTCATTACTGCTAAAAAACTGACCTTCTGAGAAAGAATGGAGGGAAGATGTTGATGCATTAAGACTTTAATAAATTACCTTTTTCTTGGGTATTTTTCTGTGAAAACCTAGGGGGTACGTTGTCCTGTGAGGGTAAAATTCAACCTTTTTTCTTAGCGATGGGCCAGTTATCAGCAGGGCTTCTCTCACCCCCCCCTCTCTGTGAATGAGATAACTGGTCCAATGTGTCCACATGCAGAGGTCTTCAAAGATTGATATGAAAGGTCATCTTTGCAAACCAAAGTCTCTGTATCTGAATTGTCATTGACCTGCTTTTATTTACCAGCTAAGATCAGCCGTTACTGAACTGGCTACAGAATATGTAGACGCTTTAAATATTTTAACCTGAAACAACTTACACTGGGACACTGCTTTCTTATTCTAGATCATTTCTTGTTTTTTTTAAATGGTTGGTGGTTCTGTGTGAAGGTAGCAGCAAAGGTTTAGATGTTAGAGGATACGAGGGAAGGTTGCTGCTAGTTTTGAAGCTTGCCCCTTTGTGCCCCCCCCCCCCCCTTTTTTTTTTTTTAAATAAAAAATAATCGCACAATTACACAATTGTTGTATCTACCAGTTTACTCTAGTTTATCACTGAAAACACTACTAGTTTCAATGTTGGCTGTTTTGCACATGAGTAAATTGATGGACATAATCTCTTGCTTTCATCACTGCGTATATATTTTTTTTCATCATCGATAATTGTGAGCACAGCAGTAAACAAATGGATGTCTTGCATTCACATACAATTTGTTCTTATATTTAATTATGTGACACTCACTTTTTTATTAGCACAAAACACTAAATTTAACTTCAGTGTTGTCCAGTTACCAAAATCTGCTGTACTTTATAACTGCGATACCATGAACAGCCTGAAACCTTTGGCTATGGTGCTTATTCAAGTGCAACACACAGCTTTGTCACCTCACAGCCTTTTAACAGTTTAAAGGAAGCATTTATTCAGGTTTGTCCAAAAAGTGCTATCACAAAATGGTACCTTTAATTTTGGTGCACAGCCTTTAGGTGTAGCATGTTAACCTCTTTACTTTTCAAGTTTGGCTGGCATGGTGTAGTTGCTGTTGAATTTTAGGGACACATCAGATGGACTAAAAAGTTTTCGGACACCACTCTTCATTTGGTTAACTTTGTTTATTTTTATGTGCCTGCACATGGGTTGGTTTGTACATCTATGTGTGTGTGTATACATATATATTGAGATTTCTGGAGGGTTAGGGTAACCGGTTTGTGTGTGTTTTCTCAGGTTTTTAGCCCAGATTTGGGTCTGAAGCTACCTACCTCTGTCACTCTGCCCTGGAAAACCTTAACTGCTGTCCCTTTCCTGAAAGAAACTTCTTGAGTTGGTTTATAGCTCTTCTTTTCTTTGTAATGGTTTCTAAATTTTGTTTAGGGTAGGACATCAAGCTGACATTTTTTTTTTTTTGTGTACATACTAATCTGGAATTTGTTTTCTGTGGAATAAAGTAAATCATAAATGTTTGGGTGTTACTGTGCGGAGATGTTGGCCTGTTCAGCTGCCTTTTGTCAAGGGATTTTTTTTATTTTCCAATGGAACAAACTACTTCTCTTCCTGTTCAACGTTCTTTAGACTTAATCAATTTTTGGTGTAAAATGTTTTATTATTATTTTTAAATCAATAACTGATGTCTCCAATTTCAAAGAGGAATATTCAATTAGTGACGGTGTGCGTATTTTGTCCCACGTGTTTTGCATCCGTTTTCACTCCAGTCCTCACAGACCTAAAATCATATCAAAATGTACACAATCTCCAAAATCTATGCATTTAATAATTGGCTGAAAGAGTTCAGTTTTATTCATACACAGAATGTATTGATCACAGAACAAATGGCTGAATGTTCTATATGCAAGATTAGTTAAGAGTTGCAGCACATATGTCATAATGCTTAACAATGTATTAGACTTTAAATAATAATGCACCCTGTATATTGCATTTGTCATAGATTTGGTCCTTAATGAATGCACAGATTGGCTCCATGCTTAAATACAATGTTGCACTTTAGTGATCTGCAGCACATCTGCTCTGCAGGTGTGTTTAATACTAGTGTCGTGTGTGTGTGCAATGGCATCAGAGGGGCTGTGAGACTGAAGAGTGGACGCCTGAGCCTTTAGTCACAATTTGCACTGTTTATAGGCTGTTTAGTGGTTGTAAATGGGCTTCTTAAAGAAAATTTTAAATGCTTCTAATCGTGTCTTCTTCTGAGATTGGATGTGGTGGTGAATTTCTGTGTGCATATATATATATATATAGTATGTAAACATAATTATGGAAAGGATGTTTTTCTTTTTCTGTGTAGGGGATAAAGTGAATAAAACATTTCAAATCAAATTTGCCTGCCAATTTTTTTTGTGCGGCTGTGGTGCTATTTAACATTTAATTATAGAGCCGAAGGGGTGAGTGAAGCATCTTTTAGCACATATAAATTGTGATGAAAACCTCACAATTTAGATTTTCAACATGACTCTCCGCAGAACACTCGGAGCATACAAATGCTGTTTGACATTACACCTGCGAGTAACAACATAGATTTTCCATTCGAGTCTTATCTGAAGCATATCAACTCAATTTTTATTTTCATAAAAAGTTGGAAGTGTTTTGATGTTCTATTCGGATGCACAACGTTGTCAAAAGGCCTGAGATTTGTGCCTCTACACAGACTATTCTCTCAGCAGTCCATGTGAGGTTGGATGAGAAGTTCTGGCTCATAGTCTCCCACAGGTCTGAAGCCCAGTAGCAAAGTATTTTACGCCTCCATATTCAACTCTTCATGTGATGAAATGCTCAGAGGCAGCTGCTCAGCCATGGAAACCAATTCTCTGAAGAGCGTTCATAGGTGCTTGATATAATCCACCTCTGGTCACAGATGTGATTTGAACACATGAATTTAATAATTTTAAGTCTCAGTACTTTTGGCAAAAACAATGCTTATGATTTTAACATTTGGTTTTATCTCCCAACATTTTTTTGATGCCTTTGTGGCTCAATGTAACAGTTGATTTCTTCTGAAAAGTTATTAGAAGCAGTTCTCTAATACACACCGTCAGCATGTGATATTCTATATTATTGTAGAATATTTGTCAAAAGAAATTTTAATTTGCTGCGATTTCCCAAAGAGCCTGGAGAAGAGCTTTAACCTAAATTGTCATATAAATTCAAGTACATTGCTCCTGCTGAAGAGAGCTAATATGGTACTGGGTAGTTTGCTCCAACATACCAATTGGCATGGACCAGAGAATGCAAAAGTGAGCGCTGTCTGGGGAGCTCCGAAGATTACGGGTATCAACGTTAAAGGTGAAGGCTGGAATGTCATCTTCAATCAGCTTAATGTTCCAGTGACGTTCATGAATATTAATATGAAGTCTTCTCTAGTCCGCAACCAACCTGCCAGAATGTGGATGCAAGAGAAAATGCATTTTAAAGATGATCAGATGAATGGGTAAAGGTACATCACTCTCCGATTGCACCATCTGTTGCATTTTAAACTATAATTTGGTCCACAGAAGCTCGCTCACTAAGATTAAAGTTGCAGGTTTGCCAGAATGCATGTTAACAAGTCCCCACATTTTGGGGGTAGTAGTGGAGACAAAACTGGAGTTTTTTTTTTTTTTTTTTTAGAATAACTGAGGACAAAACATGATACTGGTTTTCTCTTGACCAAGTACAGATCCTAATTCTATTAAATATAGAAGCTTTCAGTGTCTCTTCACTGAAATACGTAGAGCTGAAAGGAGGCATCGCTTCACAAACCTCAGACATGTTGGCTAAAGAGGAATGGGCTACAGTACCTGTTGACAAATGCAAACATCTCTTTGTGAAGTACAGACATCGTTTTTAGAAGTAACTATTGCAAAATGTGCCGTCGTAAACTATCAAATCAAGTGTATCGTCTTCTTTTGTCCATGCAATTTAATTTTTTTTTAAATTATATAAGTATTCAATTTAAATAGTCAAGTCTGATTTGTGTTAAACATGGTGTAAGTGATGCTCACTAAGCCTGTGTCATACTATTTCAAATATAGTTATGCTTTTGCTTTTCATCCATTGAGGATAAATGGAATCTGATGCCATGTATGAGAAGCAAGTTCTCAGGTTTCTGTAGTGCATTTTGATGTTATCAAATTCTGACGGGTAATAAAGTCATGTCATTTCAATGGGTTAATTGATTTCATTTGTCTGTGTCGTTTCAGATATTAAGTCTTTAAATATCTACTTAGTTAAGATAGTGTGTGCTGAAATCACTTAAGAGAACAAAGTACTTTTGAACAAACATAGATATTTGTTTGTTGATAGGTGTTTGTCCTGTATTTCTTTTGAAGTAATCTACAGTCAGGAACATGTTTCATTGAATTGCTTTATGAAGTTAATTTCTAAAAAATAAGTTGCGAAATAAAAAAGTTAGGATTTTTTTTGCCTAATAGGCTTTGTCAGGATAGATTTTTCCTAGGATTCACTTCTTCTTGCAAACACCTCCATTGTATGTCTTCTTGTATTTTTACTGTTCCCCCTTCCTCCTTTGTTTACATATTTAAATTTCTCCTTCAGATGTGTTAATTTATAATCTATACAGCAGAAGCAAAAACTCAGGGAAGAGAACCAATGTAATAATCTGTGAAAAATGCCTTATGCTGTGTGATGTTTATCATACAACATGTTGATTATCATGCTGTATGATGTTTACTAATGCCAGCTTGATCATTGTTCCTCTCAGAGGCCATTAACTCAAACCCACACAATGCAAAATAAGCTTTTTTTTTCTGCAATGGAAATCCCCCTTTCATTTCCAAACTGTTTTTTTTTTTTTTTTTTTTTTTACAGTGGCCCAGAAGACCCAACAAAATGCTAAATCCACAAAACAAAACAAAAATTATAATGGAAGCAATGGTAAAACTGCTAAAATATAAAATAAATATACTATTGAATAGGACCTCTTATTTCTTATTTCTCTTGTAAAAGGTTATGCAATGTGTAAATATCAAATTTCAAAAATGAAAACATATTACACAAGGATTAAGCATAGCAGATACTGCAGTTTCTAAGGCAAAGGCAACCTTATTCATCTTTAATGTTGATTTTAATTAATCTATCACCTGCAGAAAATTCAGGGAGAAGCAGCAGCAGCAGCAGGAGTAGGAGGAGGAGAGGAAGGAGGAGTAATGGACGTCACACCGCACAGACTCGCTGTCAGTGACTGCAACGCGGAAGGAGGAAAACGACTCTCCGTCACTGAGGTGTAATTTCGGCGTCACCGCCTCACAAGGTGCACCCTTTAGTGTAATTCCAATGCCGCTGTAAGACCCCTGACATCTTCATGCCAGTACTAATTCATTTTAAACACAAAGCGGACATATATCTCCCCCCGGTTCTCCACTGACGGGCCTCGGTAAAGACTCTAACAAGGCGCTGAAGGTAATGTACGTACGATGACGGCCGCTTGTGTTTGTCCACTACCTGCTGCTAGCTTGAATGACCGCCTGAGCCACCGGGGCTGCTACTGTATTTCCGGACACTTATTATATAATTAATATAATTTCATTTCGATGCAACGTAAGGGGAAACATGAGCGCTGGAGTATGAG